ACATGCGTTTTTGCGCTCAACTCGCTGATCGTTATTAGCAGGAATGATCCCTACGCTGTAGACTAACACTCGGGTCATATTGGCGTTCTTTGATCCTTTCCAGTATGCAGGAGGAAGGGCTTCATTTACATTATAGAGCCGCATGGACATCCAGGTGCATGATTACCGATTTTTTGCATGAAGTCCGGTCGTTTTTTCGGTAAATGCTCACTTTGTGAAAAAATGATAAATGCAAATTTTTTGGAAAAATGCAAATTATCAGTTCATGAAAAATTGGAAGTGCTGCTCGAACGGTAGTTTTTCAAAAAATCCATGTTCATTTGCATATACGATTGTGTTTCAGGCCCGAGTTGCGAAATACGATTTTTGGATTGAAGAGCTTCTTGAGGCTGTGGTTGGGGAGCTAGAGAGCTGAGTTTAAAATTTTTATCTCGCACGTGCACAGAAAATATCCCTGCAATGTTCCAGCTTTCTACGTTGCCTGGTTCGCGAAATCGTTTCCCGCCAACATATTTCCTTGGGGGTTCCGTACGCGGGGTATGGGCGCGTATGGGGGAAGATCTCAAAACGGGAGGATGATACACGGGGCAGGAACATATACCCAAAATTTCAGCCTCCCAGCTTTCCTGGTTGCTGAGATGAAAGTGGGTGACAAAACGCACTCGCTTTCCGAATACACACACATACACACACACACACAGACAGCCCCTCGACAATATTCGTTTTTGCTGGCTGTAGCAGCGCTACAGCGCTGCTATAGCGCTGCACAGCAAAAACGCATAAAAATGCAAGATGTCGAGAGCATTTGTGTGTGTGTGTTCAAAAACAAATGGACTTTTTGTCACCCATTTTCAACTCAGCAACGGCGGAAGCCATGATGCAACAATATCGTCCAAGCCGACACCCTTTTCTCCCGCATGCAAGAAAAAGCCAAAACACAGACACCTGAAACGCACGATGTTAAGCTGTAAAGCAACAATCATTCATACTCTTAACGATCTGACTGCGTCAAGTTTAACGCAAAAACGCATAGTCGCGACAAGTAAGCCTGATGCGGTGCTGCCTGGGCTTTATTAAAAAGTGGCTCACGAACTTAAGTACGCAAATAAATGAGACCCATGTGTTGCCAAAGATTTTTTTTTTATGTGATTTAAAAGAGATAAAATTTATATATATATCACCCCTGAATATCTTCATTTCAACCCCATTTTTTGCACTCTCATGCAGATCGCGCGCCTTTTTTTGTATTCAGCCTGGTGCCTCTTCTCTCACTCCCTCGCTCTCTTCGTCACACGCATTTTTTATCCCCATCCATGATTGCCCATCATTGCAGAAACTACAAGATGGAAGGTGAAGTAGTAATAGTTTATGATATAATATGTGAGGGTCGTTGAAGGAGGGAAGTTCACTGAAGCGTATGAGTGTGGCATGATGACCTT